AGTATATATATAAGATTAGATATATAGATATATATAAGATTAGATATATATATATATACAAGATTAGAATTACTGTACAACTTAAAGAGGATGTTGATATTGATTTCATCAAATAAATTTCCTAATGATTTTTTAAAGCATTTTTCTTCTTTTTTACAATGAATTTCACAGATATCTATGTATGTTTAGTTTATATATATATATAATTTGGAATATGTACTGAACTGCAATAAAAACTTTAATCTTAGTAGAACTTGCTAGATTATTTATTTTTATTAATATCTTTATCAAGATACGATTATTTATATTGTGTTTTTGAATAATGTGTGAAAGATGACTAACAAAGTTTGTTTATAACAATATAAAATTAATGTCAGAAATACAAATCTAACAATGAATTCAAAAACTATAGACAGATAATAAAGTCCTCATTATTGAAAAGTGAAGGAAATATTTAATAATCATATAGAATTGTATAAATATGCTGCTAGTTTATATTGCCGTATATTTCTCGACAAGTAAATTTTCTAAATTTTATAAGTCAACACTTGATAGAATATTTATGTTGAGTATATAAGCTTATGTATATAAAGGATATACTATATACCATATTTCCTTGAAAATAAGTTCTAGCATGATTTTGCAGGATACTCATAATATATGCCCTACCCCTAAAATAAACCCCAGTTAAAATTGTTAGATGGTCATATTTAATATGTCCATTGCAATCCACGATGGATGTATTGAATTATAAAGTAATAATAATAATATATAATCAAATATAAGTTTTATTATTATTGACATTAATACTTAAAATAAATGATATAATCAATTATTTGTAATTACTCAAGCGAGGGTCTTTGGACGAGACATCTTCTGAAAATAAGACCTAATGCACTTTTTTGAGCAAAAATTAATATAAGATCTGGTCTTATTTTTGGAGAAACATGGTATACACAGTATCTACTATATATATAAGGTTATCGTTTTAAAGTTATCTATACATATACCTTATAATGACCTTATAACCTTAATAATGATAGCCTTATTACAATATTGATTGATTGACTTGTATTGATAACTTTGTAATGAATTGTAAATAATAATGATTAAAATTTTTTCAAAAAGCACTAAAATATTTTATTTATGAAAGAAATTATTCTTTTCTTTTATTATTATTATTTTTTATTTCAAAGTAATTGATCTTAACACGTTAACCGCCATCCGAAGTGCTGGCGGTCGTACTACTTAGGGCTGTACAGAGACATATGACATGCTGGCAGTCGTATAAAATTTAAAATTGAAATAATTNATCAATATAGAAATCATTCAGGAAATCCTCATTAATTCGAACTCAGATAGTTTTAAATCCCATTGGTTCATAACTGTACTATTTGTCCAGCCAGGGATGTAAAGATTTACATGTTAAGGAATTTGGTTAATTTAAAATATGGCTAATTTGAACTTTCAAGTGAAAATTCTATCCAAACTTTGATATGCATATGTTAACTTGTTTATTTATTTGAAGTGCCTCCATAGTATAAGAGAGCAATAGACCAAGAACAACTCTAATCTGGTCAATATGGCTTTGCTTTTACCAGGGCTGTGGAGTCGCGTAAAAATCTACCGACTCCAACTCCGACTCCGACTTTTTCTTACCATCCGACTCCGACTTCGGAAAAAACACCAAAACTCCACGACTCCGACTCCGACTCCACAGCCCTGGCTTTTACAATAACATATATTTGGGTGTCACCTTACTTTCCCTTTGTTTCTCTCATCTAATAAAATACAGTTAGTTTTTGGAATTGTAAGTTTGGGCTATGAGTAGCAAGCATATTGAGATATTTGTAGGGCTCTAGGCTACTACTTTTGGGCAACTTACTATTTTTTTGGCCACTTTAAAAATAACTTGGGCTACATTTTGAAGAATCCTGCTTTATTTTTTATAAAACCTATCTGGCAACCTCAAAAAAAGATAGGAAAAATATTTTGATCATGTTATTAAGGATAATAATAATGAAATTAGGCTGAGTTAAGATACTTCTTGATAATAATTATTAATGTAATATGCGAAAATAATATTGATATGATTGATGTATTGGATAATGACAAATTTTTATAAAATTTAATTAGTTTATTTAACTTAATTTAAATTTACAATATAATATGAATATGAGTAAATTTTTACTTTTTTGAACTCTGTTATTTGCATATTAAACTTTGCTTTCAAACATGTATGATTGAAAATATTTAGTCAGATAATAATTGCATAATAAANTACAATTACCAAGTAACTATTTCTTTGGATGAAAAAGATTACAAAGTAAGTCAATATATTAATTTATAACTTAAAAAG